ACACCCACACCCACACCCACACCCACACCCACACCCACACCCACACCCACACCCACACCCACACCCACACCCACACCCACACCCACACCCACACCCACACCCACACCCACACCCACACCCACACCCACACCCCCACCCCCACACCCACACCCACACCCACACCCACACCCACACCCCCACCCCCACCCCCACCCCCAAAAAATGGAGAAAGTAGGGGGCCTGGGGGGAAGCCTGTTGATGGTTGCCTGTTCTGGTTTTTATGTTCATCTCAAACCTATTAACCACCTTATCCGTTTTTAAAAGAGGGTTTTTGGGGAGCTTATTTATCGTTTTCGTTAAGGTAATCATTTGGGTAAATTGTCGCCTTGTTCATTGTTGGGCTGGGGGCAAACATTTTTTTCATTTGATAGAGGTAGCCCTTTTAGTAGTTATCAAGTTCTGGGGTGTTGGTGGGTCGTTTGTTTCTTTGACGTTTATCTCTACAATTATTTATTTTTGTTCTACACTCTTGACAATATTTATATCTTCTTCCACTTTTTACATTTCCAAATTCATCAATTGTTTTATCATAAAGGCATCTGCTACATTTGAATAATTCACCAAAGTCTTCTTTTGCTTTTTCTTCTGTCATTCCATAATTATTCATTATAGTTTGCTTCACAACCATTTCTTAATATATCTTAACAACTTCTTTTTATGTGATTTTTATGTGATTGTCTAGCTATGTTTTATAGGTTAAAAGTTCAGTATAATTATAACATATAAGATTTTACATGTTATTATTATATTATGATTATAATTTCAGTTCAGGATAATAATCTAATTGATTTGTCTTACTTCTTTCATACATCATTTTAAAAATAATGTTAACATCTCTCACTGTATTCTGAACATTAAACTTTTTACTTTCAATAAATAATTTGATATTTTCTTTAACATCTTCTCCTTTCTCTTGACTATAACCCAACATCCATAATATATCGTAAATCGTGTCATATTTTTTCTTACTGATTTTAAGAAACTGTTTAACACAATCGTAAGGTGGTATTTTATTTACAGTTAGAAATATTAAAATATCATCTTCTACATTTCTATTATGTATTCTTTTTATTCCCAACAGACATTTGAATAAAAATTGATTATCTCTCCAAGTTTTACAATTTTTACATATGTCTTCTTCACCATCCATTGAATAATTAATAATATTATTCACTATTTCATTAGGTAAACTCAATTTATACAATTCCATATTTTCTTTTTTGAAGTGGCAACAATCATAGCATTTTTTATCGATATAATTATTGATTCCATCACCGTTCATTTTTCTCTTAATATATAAGCTAATATTTCTTTAAGTAGTTTTGGCTAGGGGGTTGCTGGTCGGCTGGCTGTGAAGGACGGGAAAGCGACAACACAACTACAGAGAACAACTTTATTTTAGAAGTAGTTGTAAATCGGTTTTGAACTACAGACCTTTCGTAGATGAACTACGACGCTCTCGTAGTTGCTTGCCCCCTCCTAATTTGTGGTTTTTCGGGTATGAAGTGCGGGGTCTTTGTAGTTGAAACGCGGGGTCTTTGTAGTTGAAATGCGGGGTCTTTGTAGTTGAAATGCGGGGTCTTTGTAGTTGAAATGCGGGGTCTTTGTAATTGAAATACAAGATGCTTTCGACTCAAGTTGAACACCCCTTCAGGATGACTTCAACTTTTTGTCAGACCGTGTGTTGGCGAGTGAGCAGTCCCTTTCAACCATTCTAACAAATATATCACTAATCAAATCAGTAGGAAATTTGTATAACTCATCTTGTTCATGTTTGATGTATCCTTCACCCCAATCTGATTTTTTACCCGATGGCAACCGTTGAGCAGTTTCTAAATGTTTCCCATTCCTAATTTTCCCACAATCCCTATTACATAATGGTCTGGGTTTCCATGTTTCAATGTTAGTCCAAAGCCTTGTTCGCTTCCTATAATTCATTCCATATTTACAGTAATCCACATCATAGTAGTTTAAACCACTCATAAAGGGTTGTTCCTTCAAAAGTCCAGTTTGAGGGTTCTCTATTATCCAGTATTGACAATTGAAATACCTTATTACTTCCAACGTTTTTAAAACAATACTATTAGCGTAATCTATTTTTCTAACCCCAGTTGTTTTAGCTCTGCTGTATTCGGTGCACGGAGGAGATGCCCAAATAAAATTGAAATGGTTTCTGTCAAACTGTTTGTAGTCCCATTCAAGTATATCACAATTAATATCAGCATTTTTCAAATCCAATGATATAACATTATAACCGAGCGACTTTGCTACTTTACCAACTGAAGAAGTACCACTAAATAGTTCTAATAAGTGAATATATTATTAGAACTATTTAGATATTAATATTTTCACATACATATCGTTGATGTTTTTCAGTTCTCTCGTGTCTTCTTATATCACATTTCCTGAAAACACCACCACAGTCACATTCAATAGGTTCTTTTCGTTTTTCCAATATTGTTTCTTTGTTTTGGTGGTAGTGCTCCCTACTTTTATTACATATATGTTCTTTGTTGTTTTCTGCGTATTCCTTCCTCATATTTTGATAGTGTTCCTTATTGTCTTCCTTCCACTCATTAATTGTTCTACCTGCCACACATCTATTCACACAATCATTATTTTGAATGTAATAACCTTCTCTTTTCATTAACTGTTCTCTGTTTTCACATGGGTAGTCTTCTAATAATTCAATCTTACAGTTGTCCATTCCATATTCATCAAACAACAAACGACAGTTTGTTTTATTATTCCATTGTTCTGCCTTGTTATAATTTTGTCTATGTCTTGCCATTCTTTGGCTCAAGCTTTCACAGGTGCTTCCGATGTAGCACTTATTATAACCAACATCTGTTATTTTGTAAATCTTTGCGTTTTTATATTTACTGCTATCCATTAATAACCTTAGTTATCTTTTCTTTAACGCAGTTTATAATGTCCATAAGGCAGTGAATTGAAAGCATCAATGTAAAACCTTTTATTTTCATAATTACTGAGTGATTGCTTGACTTGAGACATTGAAATTAATTGATGGTTGCGACTACGAATAAAATTATATGTTATTTCATGCTTTTTGTTTTGAAATAATGCTTCGTGGTAGTTTTGGTAAGTCAGTTCTTTCTTCACCTTGTGTTTCACTACACCTTTTGATTTCTTTTGTTCTTCTTCTACACCGTGTATTGTAAAAGCATACGATTTAGGCTTTAACCCTATGAATTGTGTTATTGTTTGACCGTTGCACTCATCCTTGAAATAACCGAGTTTTTTCTGATTTGTTTTGTCATGGCAGGGGTGTTCAGGTGGATAATCGCTAAAGTCCATATATTGGTTTAATTCTTTGAAGTCCTTGTAGATGTCCTCAGTGAATGTTTGAATTACATAACTGTCAGTATCAGTATAAACCAGTTTGATGTTTTCATTGTATTTCTTCTTAAGAACATCATAGTAGAACTGATACATATGTAATTTACTGATGTCAAGGATTGTCATTCCTAAGAAAATCGGTTTGTCCAGTTTCAGTTTCGCTTTAGTTTTTTCAACTCCTACAAGGTTTTCATTAATAATAAATCTATTTTTGAATGTTGGATTATTAACACATTTTTCATATCTTACCTCATTATCAACTAATTCAAAGTCCATATGATTTCGTTTGTCTTCCATAGTTTTTCCATACACAGAATTGTTCATTAATTTGAATAAATCTTTCTCAAAATCGCTTTTGGCTTCTTTCCTTTTACCTGTGTTAAAATCAATCCACGGTTTCAACCATGCCCTCTGTTGAAATTTTATTATCCTATGGACTTTTGTCATTTTCATTCCCATTTTCATATAATACTGTAAAGTCTTGATATGAACCACATATTTTTCTTTATCCTTTAGATTTAATATTAACTTACTTGTTTTCTCGTCCTTGGGACTTTTACCATCATAATATATTTTGAAGACTTGCTTTTGATAGTCGGAAAGCATATTCACATTTACATTCATTATTT